CGAACAAGTGCGCTGCAGTATTCGGCCTCTAAAATGAAGAAATCCAGCCACAAGTCTGAGGTTTGCAAACTGAACAGGTAAGCTTGCATAATTGAAATTCTGCATGTGACAAGCAGCCCCAACCTCAAAAACGTCAGCTCTGGGGGACACTTTTGTTGACCTGGGTCAACTTGGCATTCTGTTTAGAGTTTTTGTTGGATGGAATTGGCATCCAGTGAGTTGCTTTCAAGGAATTGAAAGGGAACACTTCTTGGGGGCTTCTCCATTGAAAATTTGGAGACAAGCCCAGTCGCCCGACCCTAAACACATCCGCCCCAGCGACTAAACACGTGTTCTCTTTCCAGTGTTCTCCTCTAGGCGATCCTCGATGCACTGGCCATCCTTGCCGACATCTTTTCCAGTGACCCTACCTGACCTCTGAACCCGGCTGCAGCCAGAGCAAGGAGCTTTTGCGGGCAAGGGATATTGTGGAGTCGACTCCAGGGTGGTAGGGAACCTGCCAAGAGAAGGCAAACGAGTGTCCTTGAACAACTGGGACTCACTTCTTATCGAGGGGATTGGCCACAGGTCTTCCCCCCGAAAAGCAAGTCCAGGAACCTAGGCAGTAGGTGGGCTATGGATATTACGTGGGACTTCACGTTGTAAGAGTAGTCATGAGGGCCTTCACTTGGTACAAAAATTCCCACAACTCGAAGCAACGTTGGTCGCAGGCATGTTAAAGGAACAGAATTGTCGCACTATCGGAGCTGGCACGCAAAACTGCCAAGGAACCCCTCCTAAATTGGCTTCCACTACCTCCAGGCCACTACCCCCTCAGGGGGTTCAATTGGTTATACAACCACATTGCCACAATGTAGAGGGTAATGTACCCCGTCTCTCCCTAAGGGTCGTAGTTTGGGGGTACTGGAGATCATCTGTTGCCAGCCCATGTCCCGAAAATGCTGCACGTAACATGGTCTAAACAGTTTGAACCTGCAACAACCAACTGAAGAAAGCCCTCAACCAGATTTTAAGTCTGAACAGGTAAGCTTGTTATGCGTTTTGACGGGCACTCATTTGCCTAGCTTCTTTTGTGGTGATATACTGACTGCAACGGCGGAACCCGGGCCGAACAAGACTGCCATCCGTCAGCCATACATGAGCAATTCCCGAACACAAGCTCTTTACATTTCCCGCTTGGCATCAATTGGCCAAACTCGTGATCCTTCAAACTACAAAAAAGGGAACTACAGTGCGGTCTGCTGCACCCTGTAAGCAAGCTCACTTGAAATGCAACTCCGAGACGCCCAGGCTTGCCAGCATCGGTCCTTCTGGAGTTGCCTGAAAGCAAACTCAAGGAAAACCTTCACACATTTTGTTGTTCCCTTATCTACCTAGCGTCTCCATGACCCTTACACAATGGGTCCACGACCCCCTAATTTTGGGTAGTGACCCCATTTTTTAAGAGTCATGGAGACTCGAGGTAGAGACAAACCCGATTGTAAGGGCCACCTTAAACAAAGACTTTTCAAACCTCCCATCCCCAGGTCCTCGAGCGCGTACACCGGGAGGCATAAGAGCCATGCCTTGGGCGGCCGGGATTCAACACAAATGGGTGGGGGGGGTGTTTCTACCCGGGCAGGTTGTTGACCAGCTAATGTCAACACCCGGATCAATCCGGAGGCCAGTGCTAATCAGGTTTGCTTGCCCTCCTGGGAAATGGATTCATTTTATGAGGCTTTTAAATTGCTCCTGAACTACGCGCCCTATACAGTGTGTTCATAACGGGGGGGGGGGGGGCAACAAGCGCAGGCTCGTGTCTGCATTCATTTCGCACAAGGACACCGCCTCCATGTGCCGGCTTTCCGCAGTGTGTTCATAGCGGGGGGTGGGGGCAACACGCGAGCGGCTCGTGTGTGTATTCATTGCCCCTGCGCCATTCAAGAACCTTGTATATGGAAAGGTTGTGCCATGGCCGATTGATTGATCGGACGGGGTACCCAAATGAAGCTGATCAGAGCGTGGGCCTGTCTGTGGGTGGACAAAAGATTCCCGGGGCTTGCTTGGTTCGGCTTCGCTTTCTGTCGTGGAGTTTGATGAAAACTATTCTCATATTCAGCATTGACTCTGCAAGAACCAAGGGTCCAAATCCCACCACCAATCCACCAACTGAGAGACGCATCGGACTCCGATCGAAGAACTCCCGGTTTCCTTGGGGCTGCTATCTCACAAATGATCAGATCAACCTCCTACGGAAAAGCCATGTCTTTCAAGCCCGCAGGATTTCCACTTGAAGTGGCCGGAAACAACGGCCACAAGCAAGTTCTTCTCCCCTATTTTTCTTGGACAAAATACACGGAAAGTGCTGCGCAAGCCATCAGTGCACTCATCACTGATTGTTCCATGGTTTTTGTCGCTCGGGGCATGCAAACAAAAGAACAAAGGATGAATCAAACCAGCTGTCAAACAGCTGATCGCGCCGAGGAAGGATAACATGCAACATCGACAAAGCACCCCATCAAACACCTATTGAGCAATCAGGCCTCACTAGGTCCTAATGGAGGTGATGGAGTTGACAGTGGGCTGACAGCTTACAACAAACTGGCAAATGATGGGAACGAGGGATCCCAGCTTCACACACACTCTTTGATGAGTTGAGTCGATGGAGGCGTGGCAAAACGATCCAGAAAGATGCAAAGAAACTCAAGGCCCAGCTGCGAGAAGTATGTCCATGCAGAAGGAGAAGGGCTTCCTTCTGGTTCCCTTTTAAACTTGTTCGACCACAACAAAGACAACTCTTAGGCGCTCTTGCTCTGTCCCTCGGAAAGTTACAAGCCACCCAAAGTCGGGGGTGGGGGGTGGATAAGAGGCAACCTTACTCTCGTGCCGGGCCGCGCCCTAACGCTTGAGGATGCGGAAAGGCATCTGCCGATGTATGAATAGGATTCAAAGAATCGGCGCATTGGGGAGCGACACATTGGATGGTTGGTGTCTCCCCCGCCCAAAAAAAATAAAATAAAACAAAATAACAAGGGTTATCAGCTTCTCGCCAATTGGTGGTTTGGAGGATACCTAGAAGCCAGGGGCTGAAACCGCCCCAAACCAGTGCCGGTGGTTTGCGTGGCTTCCCTTCAAGAAAGGGTCACAAACTGGCGCAAAGCCATACCGCGACCCTCAAACTACCCTTCAAAATCGGATATGTCCCCATCCCCAACATCCAATTTTGACCAACTCCAACATCCCACCCTACATGTCCCCTCCCTGCTGGCAAGCAGCTCGGCATAGCAAGCTGACCATGGACGGCGACAACACGAGTTCAATCGCTTTGCGCGGAAAGAACCGTTCAAAACGTCCGGAGACAGAACTTCCTGAACACTTCCATTCATTGAACTCTTTGAACCGGTCAGGGCACTGCAAGGGTTGCAGGACGACGTTCGATGTATCAAATGCAACAGTACTCAACAAATATGACAGAGAAACCAGCCAAAGTGCCTGGTTGGCAAACAGATCGAAATCGCAAACTTCGGAATACACTTCCTTGTGGCTTAGTTTGGGTGAAATAAAGAGGGTTCTGTAGCGCTCGTACTAAACCACCAATTGGAAAAGGGTAGCCTCCGGTCACCCCGGCGGGTTTTCCAAGGGAGCCAAAGGCTGCAGCAAGTTTCCGCAAGCTCTGTTACCTGGGGAAGAAGGTTTCCGTCGAAGCGAGCAAAGAAACAAGGTGACACATGTTCATAGAACTTTTTGTAGGACCCCCAGAACCCAAGACACACCACTCCCAACACACACCCCTAAAACTTTCCCAAAGCTGGGTTTGTGGGGGGGTGATTTACTGCATTACTCTACGGTTTGGTGGCTGGACGTGGTTGACTCACCTGAGAAATATTGGTGGGAATCCGACCAAAACCGCTGGGTGAATCACGTCGCAAGCGCAGTGGTTGGCAAGACATCGGCACAACCGTGGCAACTGCATCACATTCAGATATCCTATTTTAGTAAAAACTCACATGCACGGCCCCAGACAAGACACGTTTTTGGATGTTCATCCACTCAATAAGTATGGTACAACCATAATTCCGTTGAAAGAACTTGAGGCCGTCATACGCTGCTAACAACCCACACAAGTAGGTCGAGCATCTAATCGGCACCCTCCAATATTGCTTTTACCACCAAACCATAACCCCCCCCCCCCCGCCACCACAAAAACAGACAAAACACAAGTGGGGTTTGCAATTAACAGACATTTTGTCAAGGAGTGGTGCCGAATTTGTCTAAGACTGAACATGCAAGTTGGGGTTACAAGACCCAGAAAGCGGATAATAAACGGGTGGTTTTCAGCTGCCACAAGCGAATCGCTTTAGCAAAATGCACGGTCTCAACAAGTTGCCTGTTTGCTTGTCTATCATGGACATGTTCACCCATGCAGTGCTCAATAAGAGGTAGACACTTCTAGGTCGAAAGTGAAAATTCCCTCGGCGCTACTCACTCGGAGCTGAAAGCAGAAAAAGCCCATGCCCTTGGATGCTGAAAGCGCGGACGTGATCCAAATCCCGAAATGGGACAACTTGCAAATCATATTGCTTGGTCTCAGTGCAAATGTGGGACTGACCCGGTCGCTCCCTGTCCACTGCAAGTTTGTTTATTCTCTAAATTCCATGCTGAAGACAAAGTTCACCCTGAGCTTCCACCAAAAGGCAACACTCCCAGGCCGGGGAAAAACAATCGAACAAATCCTGCACCAGGTGCCAACGCCCAAACTACCCACTCTCATCTTGTGCGCAAGGCTTTCTGATCCGGTTGAAACGAATCAAGAAGCTGGAGGTTGGCAGGGATTAGGCAAAAAGGGCTGGACAAGAACAGGGATCCTTACATTCTACACCCGAACATTGCCTTGCAAATGGTGGTTTCCCTTTATTTTGGTGGAAAATGACATGTTTCGAGTGGGCAAAATGTATCTTTCAAGGAGCCCTGAAGAAAAAGGAGCCCTTCGGACGTCGCAAGAAGCGCACCGGCGCCCGCGCCTCCGACAGAGTTGCAGAGAGCGCGAAGTCGGGAAGGTCGTCCTCTTCAGCAAACGAACGCGTCAAGGGACCACGGACCTGCTAGCTGCCCATGACAAAAACAAATATATATATATATATATATTAGGGGTTGGCTTTGAAGGGAGAATGCACAGGATAACCACTATTTTGGGGGGTCACCTAAGAGAAGACACACCCACGTGTTTGCGCCTTGTAATTCTAGATTTCAGACCTGAAGCAATCAACTTGTGGGACCTTCAATGCAAAAATGACGTATACATGGAAAACCAGGCCACATGCTCGGGTTTGGGCTGATCAATAGCCGTAACCATGCCACTAACTCGGTTAAAGAGCTATTTCAAATGGCATAGCAAACCAAGAGGGTAACATTTGAATAAATAGATGTCGGGCTGTGCGCCTTGATACTGTCTGCGACGGAGCAACCCCGTATCCCAGCATGCTTTCTACAGTTGCGACATAGTTGCGCCTTTTGCAGGGAGACGGGATGGAGAGTCAACCCAAAAAGTCACAAAGCTATATACCCAGCTTCTTCTCTTGGAGGAAAGGGTGCGGGAAACAAAACTAAAACTCTTGCCTGCTTTTCATATCAGGTGTGCGAAAAATTCCCACTGCCCACCCTCAACTAGTGGTCAATTCATTCATGGCCAGCCCCAATGGGAAGCTCAGGTCTCCATGCTGACACGCCGCTCGCCGCGCCTCCGCCACGGGCTGCAAAGGCTCCGCCTGGAGCGAGCCGATGGAACTCCGTCGCATTCCACAGGTCAAATGGGACTCGCGGGTCTTTTTTTGTAGGGGACCCCCCAACATGGCGGCTTTCCTTTTTCGATTTCCCTTTTGAACCCCGCCAAAAGAGCGGGCTCATATGCGTCATGGTTCATATCCTTATGTGGGTTCCTGATTCCCTTGGAAGGAATCCTTTCAATGGTTACACAGTACTTGCCATGGGCATGTATTTTGCTCAGCGACCTAGGTGTTGGTGCACAGCATTCACAAGGATATTACTGTTTTTTTTGAGGCCATCCGCAAAAACATATATAAAAATAATTGCCATGCGCGTGCATTATTTCTACCTACGCGGCCAGCGAGTCCTTCCCGTGCTTCACAGCAACTTGCAAAAGTTTGCGCAGCCTTTTCGGCAAACAGTTGGTCAAAGCTTCCCACCAAGTTTTCAGGCGGGCCGGACTCAATGATCACTCGAATGTCATGATCCAGGCCAACTGAGATCAGGTCATCAGTCTTACGCACCCGTGAAAGTAAAACATACACAATTATAAATTTTATCTCTGCGGAAGTTCGTTTGGGCATGTCAAAGTGTGCGACCAGCCCAGGCGTGGCAGTACTTCCTTGTAAGGAGTAAAGGGGGCATGTTTTTCTGGTGTCAGAGGAAACCCTGTTCGCTGCACATATGCTGTGTGATCAGAGCCTTGTGACTTGAATAGCCACTCTTGGCTTGTCTGGGGCGTAACCCAGATGATCCCAAGGTAGCTCTTGCAGTTTATGCTGCTCACACACGTGTGGTGGGAAAAACTCCAAGTTCAAGCCATCCACCCGCACGTAGATGCCTCTTGGCACGCATGCAAGTGCAACTTCACGGGAAGGCATGTCAGCACAGTTGTGTGAACTTAAATTGTCTGATGGGTGGAAGTCTTTGGAAATTATTTCACCAGCGGCATCCTGAGCTGCCCAGGGTGGCAGCACTGACGTTGTGAATCGGACACGCTGTCCTAAATGGAACAGACCGAAGGATGGAATTTTCTTAGTGGCGTTTACATTTGGAATTTACAGCATCTCTTTGTCATGCTCTGGCAAGCATGTTCTGTCTGGCGAATCAATAGCTTGCGAGAGAAACAAAACTTCGTTTGAGCATCGCGCAGTCGTTTTTGCTTTCAGGTAAGTTGCCATTGAAACAATGGACCATGCCCTCTGTCTTGCTTCCAATGTTCAAGCCTTGTGGACAACAGCAGCTGCCAATCACTCTCCAACAGTTTTTGCCCACCCGGAAGCCTCATCGTGTCCAATATTTTTTCAGGCAGCTGTCAGTAAATCGCATTGCGGTCTGCAATGCGAACACTGCAGGAGTCTGGGCAAACATGCCAGCTGCAGCTTGGTGCTCCAAGGATGTCCCGGCGAGCGGCGCCCAAAGCGAGGATGATTTTGGGACCGGTGGCAACTGCAAATGGTCCCCTGCCAGTAGAGCTGACCGAGCCAGGCCAGCTCGTGACAGAATCCAGCCCAGCAAGAGCAAATGCAAACAAGTGGGGAGACAAAGGTTGACCCAGCCAGACCATCTCGTGACACCATCCAGCCCAGCAAGCACGGAGACAAGTGGGAAGACAGATCATCTCGTGACAGCATCCAGCCCAGCAAGCGAGCGAGGAAACAAGTGGGGAGACAAAAGGAAACAAGCGGGGAGACAAAGAGCTGACCGAGCCAGACCATCTTGTGACAGCATCCAGCCCAGCAAGCGCGTGAGGAAACAAATGGGGAGACAAATGCAAACAAGTGGGGAGACAAAGGGCTGACCAAGCCAGACCACCTGGGAGACAAAGAGCTGACTGAGCCAGACCATCTCGTGACAGCATCCAGCCCAGCAAGCGAGTGGGCACAAGTGGGGAGACAAAAGGAAACACGCGGGGAGACAAAGAGCTGACCGAGCCAGACCATCTCGTGACAGCATCCAGCCCAACAAGCGAGTGAGGACAAGTGGGGAGAGAAAAGGAAACAAGCGGGGAGACAAAGAGCTGACCGAGCCAGGCCATCTCGTGACAGAATCCAGCCCAACGAGCGCGTGAGGAAACAAGTGGGGAAACAAATGCAAACAACAGGTGCTGACCGAGCCAGACCATCTCGTGACAGCATCCAGCCCAGCAAGCGAGTGAGGGAAGAAGTGGGGAGACAAAGAGCTGACCAAGCCAGACCATCTCCAGCCCAGCAAGCGCGTGAGGAAACAAGTGGGGAGACAAATGGAAACAAGTGGGGAGACAAAGGGCTGACCGAGACAGACCATCTCGTGACAGCATCCAGCCCAGCAAGCGCGTTCGGAAACAAGTGGCGATGGAAACAAGTGGGGAGACAAAGAGCTAACCGAGGAAACAAGCCGAAAGACAAGGCCAGACCATCTCGTGACAGCATCAATTCTTAGTAAGAAATAAGAACCCCAACAGTAAACTGTTTGGGGAAAAGGTCCAAACATCGCCTTTTGGGAAAGTCATTTTGAAGTCGCTCATTGGGTGATGCTTTCGGGTTGAGCAATCAGGAACCTCAAGTTATTCAGGTCTTTGGTTAGTTCCTGTGTAGTTGCTTTGCTTGCACGCTTGTGCGCAGCTGGCTGTTGGGTCCGACCCAGAGACAAGCATGTAGCCTGACAGTCGAAAAAATGGCTTCTCCAGTTTCACGAAATAGCAGAATACCCTTTTCTGGGACATGACTACTATCTTCCCTAGGAACGATATGCATGCATTGCAGCAGGCTCGAAAGGTCCGTAATTTGACACTAAACAAATGTTTGTCCAAAACTGGGGGGGGGGGGCAAGACCAAATAGAATTTCAGAATAGCCCAATATGAAACCAATACTAAACTAGCGATTTCTCCCACCAGCCTCTCTTCCAGTCCAATTGGGGGGCCCCCTGCCCTCAGTCACCAAGCGCTACATTCTGTGCAGCCAACCTAGAACCAGCTTTGAATTGGTTTGGGTCCGTTACCTAAACACACACGTGATGCTGGAGCACTTTTTGGTTGCTCATGACCTCCCACCAAAAGTGCAAAAGCACAAGACTGGACCCCAAACCCACAACTGGGGACCCTACGAATAACAATTATTTTTCCCAGCTGTTCTTTTCACAATTGGGAGCCTTTTTCAATCTTGGGAGAGGATTATGTACAGGTCCCCCTTTAATAATAAAAGGGAGGGGAGGGAACCCCCCCCCGAATTGAAAGCAACATGTGTCCACATGTTTGCTTAATCATTGGGGTGTGCGAAAGCGCTTTGCTATCATCTGGACAGCTGACAAGGTCCAAAGGGCGATTTGAGGTGTGCAGCCACGATTGAGGACAAATGGAGGTAAATCGGCGAACATCTGTCATGCAAATCCTTGGAACAGATACTGTAGGCAGAAACGACCGAGGCACTTTAAGGAAGGCCAAGGGGAAACCCTTGCAGCCTTACGTCTGCCAACGAGAATCTGGGCAGAAATAACGACGCCTCAAAGGACCTTCATGTGGTGTGCTGGTTTTACCCCACGTCATCCTCTCACCTCCCACGCGCAAAGTCTGCCTTACGTGCTGCTCGCGCACTGCTCGCCAAGCCTGGCAACTCAAGCCGTGTTGAATTGTTTGGCCAATAGAAAGGCAACATCAGGACCAGCAGGGAAATGGTTGGGAATGGGGGTGGGGGGGGGGTCTGGAAACTGTATGAACAAGTGCATCGAGTTTTGGCTTCCTGTAGGACCCCCACACATGTAGGCTATGTAGCACCCAAAGGAGCAGCATCTGCATGGTTAGAAACTGTGTCAACGCCAGCGAGCAGGTCCATTCTTGCTTCACTGCGTGAAACAAACGGGCACTAAGAAACAAAAAGCTGGTGGGCAACTCCATGATGATGTCCACAGAAACGGAAATCGACATGAAGATCAAGCAACAGAAACAGCAATCAGAAGCACACCTTTGAGCGGACAAACCTTTCTGCAAGGCAGCTCAAAAACGTGCAAAGACAGCACGAAACGCGCAGCTTTAAGTCGGGGCCAAGAGGTCCAAGAAAGGCATGCGCCGAAGCCCATGTAACCTATCAAACCATGCCGGGGCAAAAAAGCAAACAAGACGATGCTTCGCCTCGCAGCGCTCCGCCGCGGCTGCGAAGCCCTGGACAGCACTTCCGTGGTAGGAAAGAATTCCGTACTAATTTCTACAGGTCTGTGAATTGCACCACATTTTGGGCTTGTGGCCTGCAATTGCGCCGAAAGGAGCAATAGGTGAAGAAAACCCAGTGGCACCCCTGTCCACTTCTATGACTGTTGGATGGGGAGGGGTGCCCTGTGTGGGACCTTGCTTCGGAGGCTCCTCCACCAAAATGCAAGCCCATATAGCAAACCAGAGGGCGGTTTGCAAACAGGTCGCTGGGCAGCATTTCCTGAATAGGAATGGTAATGGGGAGTCGAGTCCGCTTACTTCAATACGGTCTCGAGGAAACCAACCATTTTCTTCCCATATTTCGGGTGCAACTTTCGAACTCTCCCAGACTTCTTCCGGGAACGATTGGGGCGGGTCCCCTTGGGCCGGTGCGCCCCCTCTTCCATGCGTCACCTTGGGGGTGATGCTGACAACAACTGGCTCCCTGCAAAGAATGGGGGAAGCACGGCCGGAAGTTTCAAGGAAACAACCGGATGTTGATGAGGTATATATTTTTAAGAATATATACGGGTCTGTCTTTTCTTGTGGTACCCTTTGTTGGTGGTGTTTAAAGGGAAACCAAAAGAAAAACAATCATTTTGGGGGTCCCCCAACAAAAAGACAGACCCACAATATATATATATATACATATTATACATAATTATCTTATATCCCCTTGACTCCAGGCTAAATCTACCGCCAACTCTTCTTTGTTGAAACTATATAGTTTAGCAGGTCAAACTCCTACAATCCCCAATCCCCCTAGTTACAATTTCCTTACATCAGGTGACACCCCTACACTTGGGGTCCACCTGGTGCCCATCCAACCATGAGAACGGCCCCAGGAGTCGCCTGGCTCTGGTCGCGGGGGGTACCCTGGAGCCTGGCAGTCGCGACGCGGAGTCCTGACTGACGCCACATCCGTCATGGCGCCGTCATTTCCGAACTACACACAAACAAGACCGCCGATCGGTTCAGCTCATCTCAGTTTAGGAACCAACAGACAAGGCGAAGCCATTGGGAAAGGATCGGAGTCCAAACCACTCCCTTTCCCCAGGCCTGTTCAATGCAAGGCGTCGCACAAGTGGGGGTCGCCTTTTCTCGTGGACCAGGGCGGACCCTGGAAAAGCGCATCATGGGCGTCACCTTGAGGCAACCCTTTGGAGATCAGACATGGTATCCCCAACACGTGCTGTGTCCTCTTTGGACCAGCCTGTTGGCCGGGTGCTGTTGCCATCGGCTCCACTAATCTCGTAGCCAGCTTTTATTATGTGGCGGGGCAGGGCGACCCTGGCGCAGAGGCGGGATTGTACACATTGATTTTAGACGGGGTGCACACACAGCCAGGCTTGCAATCCGCTTGTTTTCTGATTATTGGGTTTGGGTACGGGATTGGACTATGAACTCCGCTCGGCTTTTATGTTTGGCGCCAGTCTGCCTGGCGTCTTTGCTCCGAGTAGCGGCTTGTAAAACTCTGGAAAAACCAACTCAGGGAAACCAAAAGGTCAAAAGGTTGGCTTTGGGCAAGTAAGAAAAGGTCGGCTTTGGGCTTTCGGCAAAAGAAACAACTGTCAGTTTTCTCTCCCACTTACTTTGACACATGTGGGGGGGCCACCCCATCTACATGCCAACGGTGCCTAGAAAAGGGGCCCGGCTGTAATTAAGATGAAGACGCCCCATATGCTCACCAGGTTTCCCAGTGATGAAAGAGGGCACTCTGTTTTGGCCAGCCATGCTTGGGCCGATAAATTGGCCGTTTGTCACATCTCTGCAGAAGATCAAGCGTTAGTTCAGCTGCATACGTGGATTGCCTTCAAAGCTTCACAAGACAAAGTGGGTCTTGGGAAGCAAAGAATCTGGCACAGTTGAAGAAGAATCGGCCGACTGGGCGAAAAGAAATAAGGCTGGCAACGCCCCGGGAATTTCCAGGGTTTCTCAATGGGACACATGGGCCTGGCAAATTGGCGTCATTTCCAGTCACTTTTCCCAGCCCGGGCACCCCGGTTGAGAGCTTTCTAACTTTTTTTCAACGAGGCCCCCACGCTGCGCAAGCGTGCCAGAGACTGGCGAAAGACGTGGAAATCCGATGGCGTGACCCTGAAAGAACGGGAGCCATTTTTTGGGAGGACATTTCGAAGCTGGCTTCAAAACCTTGGGCTCTGGACCGAGGGGTTCCAAAGGATTTCCCCTCAAACAATCAAGCATGGTTTTTAGGAGTTTTGCACCAAGGAATAGTAACAACAAACAATCCACCGAGAACAGTGGGGAAAAGGTGAAGGCCACTGGAACATGCACCAAATTCGGTTCTAGTCCATACGTTACATAGTGAACTAAACTCGAACATGTCAAATAGTTCCAAGAGAGATCCCATTTGCAGCTGGCTGAAAGTAAATGGCTTTCCCACATGTTGGTTTACCCCATACTTCCCCACGTCTAGCGGGAAACGTGCCATCGATATTTCCTTGGCCCACAAAAGGAGGGCACAGAAAATACGATGTTCAGAGTCTGTGTCATGTCTCCATAGCTTTACCCCTGCCCAAAAACTTAACCCTTAGCCAAGCGGGAGAAGTCATCATCTTCCAAGCAGAAGTCAAAAGATCCAACCTAGCCGCCAAAAAGTTCAGCCTGCCCTAAAATATGGGTATGTTGTTTAAGGGCACTTCCTTTTGGGTACTTTTAAATGGAAACCAACAAAACGGTTCTGGAGCACCGTGCGGTTTTGGGGTACGCGGGTACTCCCCACGCCTGGTCCTGTCGTTTGCAGCGTTCCGTGAGCGCCTCCAGAGACGCCTCAGAGAAGCGAACCACAGGTTACTTGAGCCCATGCGTGGGGAACTCCGCAAAAGGGACGGAGCTCGAGGGGGCCAAGGGAAAAGCCGTCAAGAAACAAACCACCACCTCATCGGCATATTGGACCCAAGCCTTTCGCAGACATCACCCAACTGGGTGGACTTGCAAGGGGGAAAGGACTGCAAAGAGGGCTCCAGGAGGCTCCTCTCAAAGTTTCGCCCGTGCAGTTGCGAATATTCCAGACTTGGAACCTAGGCAGTGACTGGTGAAAGCCTACGAAACAGCTGGATCCTGGAAAGAACCTCACAAAGCTCATGACCTCAGGTATTGCTTCAGGTTCAGTACGAACCAAGGAATCAAAGACAAAGACTTCCCATTGACGACCCAAACCTCAAAGAAGCAATGGTTGGCTTCTCCTTAAAAGAAGGTCCTTGGGGTCTGGCGGTACCTTTGAAGGAGAAAACGTGCTACTCGACAATTGGGGCCTTAACACGTCCCAGAGACTTCCGGAGAGCTACAGGAGTGGAGAGGAGCCCCGTGTTCTCTGCCCCTTCCATCCATCAGAGGGAAACCTGAGGATCGCACAGAAAGTCGACTGCGACATGCAGCGAATGTCTCCACGTTGGTGTGGAACGTGTGGGGTGTCAACATAGGGGATCCCCCCCAAAAAAACAAGACATGGCTGTTCCCTTTGGCCTCTTTTTCACCAACCCCAAAAGGGGCACCCATACACAAAGACGGACCTAGGTGGAACGCGGTTGGATGTCGATTCTGCCCTTCTCTTCCCCACGGTGCGTTGGGAACAAACTCCATATCCCACCCCTGCAAATGAACAGAGCAAACAAAATAAGAAACCACAAGACAGAACAAATGAGACCACCCGCAAACAAGTTGAAAATGGACAAGAAACCACAGGACGAACGTATCAATAGGTGAAGCTCCTACCTTTGTGAGAAAGTGTCACCGGCAACAAACGAGAAAAAAAAAGAAAACAACAAAAAACAACTTCCCAACAACCTCCCAAGTAGAAACACACACACACACACACACACGGGCAGCAGGCAGAACAACCGGGAGGGGTTTAGTGGCAGGGGGGGGCGGGGGGTGAGTTTGAACTTAAACCAGGGACCCAGCCATTAAAACCAAAACGTACCCAAGAATCCAAAAGTTTGGGTTTCCACGTGGATGCCACGGGTCACTTTAGATGTCAGCCCCTTTCTCTGCTCTCACTTGCATAGTTTTGTTTTGGTGGCCCTGAATATGGGCAGGGAATGGCAGGGAGGCCCTTCAAACCAAATTCGAACTCGACCGCCAAACCACCAAACCGGCAGAAAGCCGCCGAAATCACTACTCAAAAACCAGAAACCAAGCTACGCAGCCACAAGAAAGAAGAGAAAAGGACGGATCACCACCAAGAACGTAACAAGACTCAGACCCCGCGATTCGCCGCCACTCGGCACGGCGCCCGAAGCTCCGTGACCTCCTTCTGGCGGCGCTCGCCTGAATCCGCGAGCGAAGGTCCCAAACGGACCTCCGGAATGCGATGCAGAGGATCGATCCATCGGGTACCCCGTGACTGGTGTCCTTTGGTTCTGCATTTGGTTCTTCCCTTTAAAGCCCCCGAAAAAAGGGGACCCTCTCAAAGGAGACATGGGTGTCAAGAAACCGGTTGGCAAGGTCACGTTCCAGCGTGTCTTTCAGCCCGAGCCTTCTTCAAGCGATGCTTCCAGCCGAGACAAGGCCTGAGTCGGTGCTGCTGAGTCGATTTGGGTTCGGCTTTCTTTGGGTCGCCGTCGGTTTTCTCTGGGCTCCACATAAAGTAGGCAGCGTAATTCTACCTGTAGGTAGCCAAATGGAATTTCCCCTTCAAAACTAAAAAGACACCACACCCGACAAGGATCGACCCAAGGTCAGAAGAAGCCGGTATTGACCCTTCTGTATCTTCCCCATTGTTGCTGTGAAATGCCTGGAGAGGGGTGGACTAAATAGTGTCTGCAAAATACCTAACCAATTCTCACTCGAGAGTTAGTCATCTTTTAATTTGGAGAAACCCTCTTCATTCGATTTGAGCCGCCCGGGAAACAACATATTTCCTGTAGTGATAGATTCCCTTCAAATTCAACAAGGGAAAAGAAAACACACATATATTCTTAAGCAAATCAAAGTAAGTTGTTCAAGGGGAGCCTTCGAAGAGATGCCACCGCACGCTTCGCGAGACGAGACCGGTGCTCACAATGGAGTGGCAAATCGGCCTTCGAATCGCCCCCGACCAGCCAACTTGAGCTGGCGGAACCGGGAAATCGGCACTTTCCAGCCAACCCTACTGATGGACAAAATCCTGCATGTTGAAACCATGAGAAACCATTGTTTGTTGGTCCTCCAGCCAAGAACAAGGAAGAGGCCCGGACGCACGAACAAGTCAAGCACATGAGAAAGCAGTCACCAACATACTTCTTGGCACCGCCCTGGTCCAGACTACCCATGCAACATTCTGCAACATTCGTCAGTGTGCTGATGGAAAGGGAACATGAAGTCTGGGAACCCCTGAGCCATTCCATCACTCTGCACTTTGTCTGACCGCAAAGTTTTTTTTCTGCTGGGGACCAAACAGGGCTAGTAGGAACCCCAGATCTGCTTGGGCAATAGGGCTGGGAATCCTTCACTTGTGTGGGGCCGACACCCACCCCCAGCAGTACCGGTTTATATATGCGGGGTCAACCGTTCGTCTAGCAATAGTGTTGAGCCCGGATAAACCAACCCCTGCCCATCAATAGAATCCGGTGTTCCCCTCCAAAAGTGACCCGAACCCAAGAGTTCAAATTTCGACAATCCAAATCAACCAGTTTTTTTTGCTAGTGCTACTTTTGCAGGTCCCAAGTTGGGGCCGCTATGGGTAAAACACTCCACCAGCTTATCGGTTCCCATTCTCCAGGCTTCACCCCCCTCCCCCGCCTTCGAAGACTCCGCCGCCGCACTCAACTGGCCGGTAGGGACATCCGCTTTCTGTGGCAAGCCAAAAGCAAAGTGGGGTCAACCTGCTTGAACCAAACCTCAGCCAATCGACTTTGGCAGAAAGGGAAGATGAAAACGAAACCCGAAGGGGTGAATCATGATTTGAAGCCTTAGGCTCTTTCGGCTGAGGCATCCTTTCAAGAGGACTTTAGTCTTTGAATCCTTTGTGACAGCTTTCAAACCCGCAACGGGGTCGTCTGGGTGTCTTTTGGTGGGTTCCCCTTGCAGAAGGAAAACCACCTTTTTGGGGGGGTCCCTTACAAAAAAAAAAACAGCCATTTGACTAAATGAGTTCAAAGTCCCAGGCTATTTGATTCCACTTCCCCACTCAAAATGAACAACACCAACAAAAACCAATCACCCATCCAGGAATGCAACTCTGGCAAACTCATTATTTCTACCCATTTCATTTCAAATGATCCCACAATTTGGGTAGCCACAATCAGCAACATGAAGACTTTCCACCAAATTGTGTCACTTGACGGGTGACGTTCAGAAGTGAGGCGAGGCAATCAACTTTGAAGGGAGCAAGACATATTCCCGGCCTCCTGGCGCATGTGGTAGAGATCCACCTTCCAGAAAGACAGGGGTTGTCATCAACATCTGTCGTTGCCTGGTGAGATTGGACTATGCAAACCGGCAACATGCTGGTAAATCTGGTAACAGAGAAAAATCAACCAACCCCCCCAAGTCACGCTAAGAACCTCTCAAAGGGTGAAAGCAAATGGCACAATTCCCTTCCCGCTGGCAAGTAAATAGGATGACTCAATCATTGTGTTGTGGAATTGTGCCTCTTGTTGTAAGCCTCTGGTTGGTTTGTATTGGGGGGTGTTCCCTTTTAGTGGGGATTCATCACTTTTGGAGGAGGAAATGCCTTGGGATCCGTTTATTGATCCGGGGTCGCTGTTGCCCAACTGCAGGGGACCCAGAAAGCAATCTGTAAGTTCAAGCACCAGAAACCAGAAGCCGCGCCTGCTGTCTGCCGCAGCGTTTCATGGCTTCCGCCAGCGCCACCTGCGTTGGCTTCCGAATCAGGACATTCATCAGTGTGGGCAGATCCTTTGATTCTGGCTTGATCTGGGCTGTTTACTCCTTTAATGTTTGATCCTGACCGTTGGAGATGGGGTTGCAACGAGCAAGGCGATTCGCCAAAAATGTACGGCTGATGGGTAATCAAGGTCATAAATCTGGGGCATCTCCCTGAAGCCTATCACTTGAGTGACTTTGGCACACTGGGGCCAACTGCACCCTGCGGAAAGCACCGCTCCAAAAGCTTCTGCTCATTCGCCCAAAAGGCCTGCAACGGGGTGGCGCTCTCTGCATAGAACCTAAATGGCTGTGGGTCAAAACCCTGTACCCCTGATAAAACATCAACATAGGTGGCAAATGGATGTTCATCCACCCCAAAATGGAGCCATAATTCTTCCGCCCAGGCCCCATGGCCATATAGTAGATGCTTGGGCGGGTTGCAAAGTGGAAGTGGGCCCTGTGTTCACAATACGAGGTTGCTTCCTCTGGGGTTTCGAACTTTTTCCGGCCGCCGTAAAAATACCCAAAGAGGAGGTTCCGTCCGCGTCATTCACACGCAAGACATGGCTTGGGTGTTGCCTTTCCGCGATCCATCTCCATCCATCCCGATGGGAGATGCATCGATCTCGGAACAGATCGACAGATCCAAGGCTTATCCATGAGGGGGTCCAGTAGGAGAGGGGAGTAAACATAGCGCAGTCCCCATGGTTCTGATTGATGGCATGGGTGTCACCATCCATCATGATCCATCATGTTTGAAAGGAGTGTGAGGTTTGTGTTCACCCCTGCCTTCGCCCATCAGCATGTAAGAAAGACGGCGGGAATGCGCAACCCGGCAACCTTTTCAGCGGATCGAACGCCAAGAATATAGATCAAACTTCATTCTCTCGCGAAGAGCTTCCCTCTTTGAGCGCTCCTCATGTCTCAGTTGCTTTTCCTTCAAAGCTTGAACCCGTTGCTTCTCTTGTAGTTCTTTCTTTCGCTGTCGCAGGAGTCTGCGCCGCTCCCGGTCTGCAACTCGCGCCTTGTGCTTCAACACCCCTCCCCATCTGTCCAGCAGCCTTCTCAAAGACCTCAAGCGACGTTGGCACCGCGAGGTTCCAAGAGTTGACAAGAAAGAGCGGTGCTTGCACCTGTCCTCCGTGGCCATGCGCTGCCGCTCCCAAAGCCGCAACTGCCTGCTGCGCTGGCCGACGCTCGCATCATGACAAGCGCGGAACTTTTGCAGGACCTGCTCGCTATCAGCACTTACAAGCTGCCAGGCATCAGCGACTGCAATCTGAAACCTGCCCCAAGCATCTTGGAGCTCGGTTGGGCTATACAACCAATACAAACTTCCTGAGCCAATTCTCTTGCAATACTTGCGAAAGGGTTCCAAAAGACTCCGGAGTGGCCGCAGCTTCTCAACGCTGCACACTGCGGGAGTCCTCACCTGCATGCCGCTCCCAAGGAAAAATCCCGCGGATTGCTGAACGTGGAACCTGATGTTCAATTGGGCCGGGTCTCGCCCTTGCTCTTCAGCAGACGATGCTATGGCATCTTGCAACCGCCTGTGAAAGCTCTCTTGCTTCCTTGTACGATCCAGCATCTTCTGCTTGACTGATGTAAGAAGCACCAAGACCTCCAGGGCCGCTGGCAAATTATGGGTTCGAATTTGTATCTTTATCGCGTTAAATGTAATCATGGCGGCGTAGCCGTCTTTGGCTTGCTTGACGCAGCCGGCCACTCCTCTCGGCTTACCTTCCGCCGGCTGGAAAGCGGCCTTCGAAGCGGAGGCCGCGCTGCCTGCGTCGGAACAGCTCGTCGCCTTTCGTTCCGTGGAGCTCCCAGCCTGAGTTGAAATGTCAACCATCCACTGCTCCAGGATGAGCCGCTGCTTCTGAGAGAACTCATTGCTGAGCACCTCATTCCTCACATCTCTGGGCAATTGCTTCAGAGCATCTCGGATCCGAGAAAGCAGCCTGGCTTGCAAGGATTCCAGTGAATTCGCCCCAGATATCCTGGGTAGCTTGGGTCCCCGTCCGGGTCTGGGTCCGGGTGCCTTGGTTGCACGTGACTCCTTAGCCGATGACCCTGGCCTTCTCCGCTTTGCAGACTCATCCAGCTGCCTGAAGGACAAGAGGCTCTGGTCGTAGCTCTTGCGCGCCTTTGGGTCAGACAAGGTCTCAAGAGCCCTGTAAGCCAAATGAAAGGCTTCCTTGCTGCCGCCTTTGTCTGGATGAACCTGCAAGGCTCGCCTCTTGAATGCCAGCTTTATGTCGTCCAATGTGGCATCCTTGTCCACCGACAGAACCTCATACAAAGACTTGCGGGCCATGCGCGCATGAACACAGGCATGACTTGATGCCCACCATTCTCCACTCATGAATTGAAGAGTTGTCCCGACCTCTCATACCCAAGGGTTTTTTGAGCTCCTGCCACACAAGTCACCGTCAAAGCAAGGTTGAAACTTATCATGACTCAATACATCTCAATGCCAATGTGCGCATCCTTGGGCAAAGTGCTGCTGACAAGCTTGTGAACGCTGTAACCGACTTGCCTGAAACAACGCCTCTGCCGAGGCCTCTGCTCAAGAGGTAGGTATCTTGGTTGCTGTTGACCCCCCTGCAAAACGTTTAACTTTTTGGGGGCTTTAGTAGAAAACACCTTTATGTCCCAAAAAGCTGAAGTCTAAAGATCCAACCCAATAGTAGTCAAGGTATAGACCCGCTATCTAGCTGTAAATGTCAAAGCCAAGTTGAGCGAAGTAGATTGAGGTGTGTCTCTTTTTGGGGGTTGGGCAACCGAGGAGAAAACCACCCAAAGTTCCGGGGGGGGGGGATTTGAGATGAACGCGTCAAACCAATAAGCATCGGCCATTGGCCATGGAATCAAAGCGACCGCGCATGCACAATTCCCTCCCAGTGGGCAACATGGTGGGCGTTTCTTGCAAGGCCCAAAGCCTTAGGGTGGCTTTAAGAGGGTTCGCAGTCTTCCAGGCAGACTCATTTCTTACAGGCATGGCGGGACACCTTTTGGAGCTTGAAAAAACTTGGGCGACCAATTCGGCTCCGAAGTCGGACAAAAACACATGATTGCCCGCTGGCGAGCCAGCGGTCGGAAACCAAAAATTGCAACCCTTGGAACAGGTCGCTCGAAATCGTATCTTGCAATGCCAAAACATGGCTAATGAGACATGGACCTTCCCGCCTCCCCAAATAAAGGACCTGCATCATAGCGACCCCGCTGTTTCCCCCGAAAATCAGTAAGCTCACCGCAACAAAGAGAAACTCGTATGTTCGAACATTGTAGTGAGGGGCAAACTAGTTACACACACACACACAATTGTCCTACAGTCATGCCTTAATTCGGCTTAAAATCAGCCCCATTCTACTGATTTAGGCCCCATGCAAATTGGGTTAAATAGGTGGCCTACAAACTTGTTCTGCGGTGGCCCAATCCCCTTTGGGCTTCTCTTTGGATAAATCACAAATACACAGCGTTGCATCACCTTGGCACCCATCCCTTTGGGTAAAATAAAAATATCCTAGGGCTTCCAGTTGCCACTATTAGCAGGTCACTAAGGAAACTATCATGTAAAACCTAGCTGGAGCCATATTTGGTTAATAATTATATACTTACTTATCATCAAGTGAATGGGCCAACAAGGTGCCCGAACTTTTGGCTCCACTAAAATTGCCAAAACCCAAGGTGTTTGTCACCTGGGAGGTGAGATAGAGGCTGGAGGGAATGGCTGCAATTTTGATCTAGCTTGAGGTGGAGGGCGAGAATCCGGCACCCAATTCCATTGATCTACGTCTTCCCAAATCCACCGTGACTGGAATTCCAAGGAGTGCACGCCAAAAAATGTTCGTCAACAAACCGACTCAACAATACCTGCCATTGTTTGAGATGTACAAGTTCCGTATTGCCCTGATGAAGAGAGGCGTTCAGCCTAAAACGAGCACCTGGCATATGAAAGAACTTCCCTAGCCCCACTGCCATTTGGGGGATGTTCCGAGTCCCCCCATGCGATCCGATTCGGCCTCCGCCTTGTCTTTGGCCACCTTCTCTGAGACCTGGCGACCGAGCCATTTTCGATTACGCCCCCGGGGCAAAAGGAACATATGGCCATGGGGCAAAAACCAAATCGTACCCCCAGCGAACATTCCACTCCCCAGTAAAATAGCCTAGAATGGGTGGTGCACCTAATTACCCCAAAATGGTACCATTGGTTTTGACCCACAACCATATTATCTCCAGTGCTAAACTCCACTTAAAACTGAGACGTAGGAAAAACCCGCGAATTCTGGAGGAAAATTGGAGAAACTCGGAGCTGTTGAAGGAACAATACGTTTCGGGTCTCGCTGTTCCACCCCGGCGCACTCTTTTGCCGCCTTTGCGGAGCCCCCATCTTCTGACTCGCGTGGTAGGCAGCCGTTTTGCGCGAGCCACAACTTGCTGGTGCTCAGAAGGGAATGAGAAATGGAATGACCCCAAGAAAAACCACCCCCTATAATTTCCTTTGAGGCAATCACCAGGTTCATTCGGTTCAAGACAAAGATGGCCCAAACCCAACAAGAAGAGAAGAATCCTCTCCGAGCCCTGTCTGAGAATCTGCCCGCGCCTCCAACTCCTCCCAGCGCTGCGCCTGGAGCAAAACCCACGTGACTGGTCTCACCGGCCGGGGGTGCTATTCCCTGAGGTCTTAGAACTTGGGCCCTGGAAGGTCCCAGGCCCCACTGACGGCTGGCGGCTTTGGACTGGGCTGATCCAGACCACTGCCACTGGCCGACAGAACCGGCGCACAAGAGGCTTCTAACAGGTTGTCGCGGCCATATACTTCCAACTCAACAACATCAGCAGCCTGCCAAAACCGGTGTTAAATAAATTGAGGGTCCTCTAATGCCCTGGCTTCTGTTAGAAAAAAGGCCATGCGCCACCAAGAGAGAGGTGACGTCTAAACGCCCTGACTGCCCTTGGGAAGAAGTGCCCTCCGCCTCGGCAGCGTAGGAAGCCGCTTCTGCTTGCCAGCCTGCGATCTGCTCATCACTCAAGATGGCGGAACTGCGTGCCTTCAAACAAAGAAATTGAATTTCATCGACCAAGCAAAGCACATGACCAAAGCTTAGCAAAAAAGTAACAAGCTTACTGGTTGGGGCCTTGACTAGGCTTTGCCCGAATGCCAAACATGGCATGGTCAAACTGTCGAGTCGCGCTGGCTGCATTGCAGGTTGTCCACGATTCCAAAACCGCTACACTCAGGGAGATATGCTGACAAACAAACGTGTCCATAGCAAGAAACAACATAATGACAAACAACAACTAATCATCACACCTGACAAACCAACATACATCAAACGGCCCCCTAAACAAAAGCACGGCAGCTCTTAGTCTTGCTGTTCAGCTTGCCGTAAAACCCTGAAAGAAAAGAGCCCTAACACTCTTTCCCTTTCAGAAACATTGCTGTTCTTTTGTCCAAAGCAGAAACACAACCTACAACAATCACAACACATGCCAGCAAAACAAATTGACAAAACGTGTACTGGGCAAATCCATATAAATCCTACATCGGCCGCAATCAGGAACCCCTGAGACAGGACCTTCATCATGGGTGATGGTGAGCTTGTTTTGCCACTCAGCACATGTTCATGAGCTGTTTCCGTCTCGGTCTGGACATGCAAGGTCAACCTTGTGGAACCTTGACCCGAAATGGACCAAGGAAACAGGTCAAAACTTCGGCTCGCTTGCGGCAAGTGAGTTGTTTGGCACTTGCTTTTCAAAGGAGCCCCGCCCCAAACAAATGTTGGCACACAATTGCTTCCTGAAAACATATTAGCCTGGTGGGGGGCCCATTAGCTTGCTCCCTGGGTACAAATTTCGGACCCCTGCATGGATGGGCCAACAAAAGTAACCAGACTTCTTGAGCAAGCCACTAAACTGAACCAAACCCAAACAGTGAAAAAAGTCCGAAACAAAACTGAGGGAGTCATTTGGGTGTGTCCTTGTTTAGGTTGGACCCAAGATGATGGGGTTTCCCTTTTGGTTTCCCTTGAGAACAAAAACAATTAGGGGGGGTTCCCCTAAAGGGTGTTTCTCAAAATAAGGGCCCCCTCAGATGGTTGGTGTCCTTCCAGTTTCCCTCTAAAATCGACCTTTAAAAAAACGTCCGCCATTTCGAGAAACTCCCCTACAAAAAGAAACTGCGGCAAGTACTGTAGCAAACCAAAACAAACAAACAAAAACATACTGGACGAGGGAAATGCTAACCAAATCGGTCAAAAACCTCTGGCCACCACGGTAGAAACTCTGCTAGGTCCTCCAGTAGAGAGGTTGGAATAAGAGCACCATTTTCTTCCTGTCTATTTTAGTAGGGGAACCCTCCCCCAACAAAAGAAACGGTAAAAGGGCACCTAGGGGGACCAACGGCCCAAGCGGCCCAAGCGCTCCTTGCATGCGGTGCTCCTCGGATTGCCGCTGCTCTGCTGCGGCCAGGCGCTCGTTCTCGCGGCCGGGATTGAACGAGGCCAACGCCCGGGAGGTTGCGGAAGGGCAGACTTGGATTCTAGGAAGGTTGGTGGGTGGGTGGGTGGGCGGGCGGGTGGGTGGGTGGGTGGGTGGGCGGGTGAGTGGGTTGGCCGGAAAATGGTAGCAACTTCAGACTTCTTGATGGAGAGAAAGCGTTGCAGGCAAGAACACTAACAAGCGAAGGGTGACTTAGGTCTGGACACGGAGTCGGGCACGGGCTCTGAAGGCACCTTTCGGAAACCAACGACTGAAATCGGTGGGTTTTCCTTTGGTCACCTTGCAAACTGCAAGCGAAAGGGGTAGCGGCTACCTAGTTAAGGCCTCCATCCCAAAGAGAGAGAGAGCCCGGGTCAGAAGTAGTCTGCGCAATCAGCCCAAATGTTTCAACATCAAGAAATTGCTCCCAAACAATCCATCCCGACAAAAGAAATCCATGCTTTGGAGAAATCGAATTTGACAAGCTTTGACAACTCAGACTACAACTCATGGAATTGAAAGAAAGTCCAAACTTGTATTTGTCCACGAAGAGTGTCTTCCCAAAAAGTGCAAAGTCCGAAACGGAACTTGTGAGACTAAAGAGCTGTGCGGTGGGCTTCCATGCCCCCAATGTCTTTGAACTGGCGGCACTGATCCATATTGGCCCACAAAGGCTTAAGTCCCATAAAAAAAGAAAGATAAACTACTTCCAGCAGTGATGGATTCCCTTCAAAAACCAACATATTTAATTGTGAATTCAAAGCATGCCAGGCACATGGAAGAAACTAGTATTTGTGTTGGGCGCCGCGGGAAGATAGATTCCTTGCCTTCAAACTGGGCCACTGCGGTGTAATCAAGATAATCAAGCAAGGGGCATACTGATGAACTGGGCTCCCATTGCTTCCCAATTTCTTGGGGAAGCAACCTGGAATGGGGCCTCCGGTGGTTGCAGGGAAAGAAGCAACAGCCTTTTCTGGCTGGGGGGGGGGGAAGCCCATATTTGAGGTGCCGGTGGAACCTACACAAAGGAGAGGCACTGATTGGGAGTCATAGTTGAGGGAGAGATCCCAATTCTTGCCCTTTGCAGTGAATCGCAATATGAATCTTCAACTAGATGACCCCCCAAAAAAAAATGGTTGCTTACCGCTTACCTTTTCGTTTCCCTTCCAAACCACTCCAAATCCAAGAAATCCTCCCCTATCTCCCCCCACCTTTTGGGGTGGCGTCCGATTCGAACAATCCGAAAAAAAGGAATCCGCAAAAATCCGGAAATCCGCAAAAATCCGCAGAAATCCGGGAAAAATCCGGAAATCCAACAAAAGACGACCAAGCCACTGGGCAATCCCTCCCCCTCCTGGAGCTCTGCGTGGTGTTGCCCAGCTGCTGCTTTGAGCTGCGCCTAAGGCTAAGGCCCAGGGCGCGGGCTTACCTCCAACCCGCCTTGGCTTTAGGTGCTTTTGTTGTTTGAAACCTGGAAGTTACCCGTCTTTGGCTTTCAGTAGTTGATATTAAAAAGCGTTTTTTGTTCAGGGGAAATTTACCTCCTTTAGGAAAGGGTCAAGATCATACCCGAAAAAAAGGCGGGTGGTGGGAGTGCAGGGGGAAAATGAGTGTGTCTTTTGGTGAAGGGGACTAGGGGGAAACCAAAGAGAACCATCAGTGGGGTGCCCACATTTAGACAAAACCCATATTCCCCCCCTCAAACATCACTCCTCACTTCCGATCGATGGGCCACAACAAGAAGCCACACTTGCTGCCTACCACCAACATGGTCCAAACCCCAAAAGTGAATAAAGTCCAACACGTAAAAATCACACCGTTCAAAGGCAAAGGAGACGTTTTGAGTGACCAAACAGGGAACACGCAGTTGGCAGCTGGTCTATCCCAATATTTGTAGCTATAGGGTTTCATCCATCCCCACCGGGAAGTGGATTTTGTCCACCCACAGCAGGCTAATGCGAAAAGCTAAAAAACAAATACAGACATTCTGCTACGGTCATGGAGTAATCTGTCTAGGAAGACTTCTAGAGCACCCCACAAACTCATTCCAAGTATGTAGGCCCTAACCGTATCTGTACCCCAAGATGTCCCATTCTCGAATGCTGTCTCTCGGTGGTTTGCGTTAAGGGCTCTCGCTCTCAACAGACCACACCACAGTGCATCAGATGAATCACCCATCACCACCCTGCTTCATGTATGGAACAAATGGCGTTACACATTGATTTCCACATTCCTTAACGACAAAAAAACAGCTACCCTTGGAATTGGGGGAGCACAAAAATAGTCCAGTAATCAGTAAGACTGGAAACTGCGGGTGAGGGCGCTGCTCGTATCCTTATCGTCACAAAGGTGAAACATGTCGCTATCTCTGAAGAATCACTGCAAAGCTCTTTTGTAATGTTGACCCCAGACCAACAATTGCTGTCCCTATTCATAGGGGGTGGGGGCCGTCCAAAAGTGATGAATCGCCACTCATAAAGGAGACACTCCTCTATTCATCAACCAGGGCCTGCAAGAGATCTTCTGGGGAAGGGGCCATTGTTAAGCTAGTACCCATCAATACCCATCAGTGATCTCGCCGCAGTCTGCTCAAATGCATCATATTCACCAGACAGATTTGGCTTCGAAGACGAAGGGACACCCTTGTGATCCACTGCGACCCCATCAACCAGCTCAGTCTCTAGGGCCGTGTCAGTCAGCCGATGGAATCTGACCGGTAAAGTGAAGCTCATGGTCCATGCCGATGTCGGAGTAAAGAGCAAACATATAAGATCTGACTTGTAACCCTGGCAGCAAAGGTTTTTTTTCTTTTTTGCAGTGGACCAGTAAGGAACCCGCCAAACTGAGCGGGTATTACTGAACTTGGAGGTAGTTATCTGGTTGATCGTACTCCCCCACTTGGCTTCAGGCACAATAACAAACACGTGCTGTCTAGCACCAGCTCGGATATGAATCTGCAACTTGCGCTGTATGTCTGCCTGAGAGAAGGGGCAGAATGTGATCTATGTATATAGCACCCAGCTAAAATATAGCCTTTTAAATAGGCTGTCTGGATGAACCATTAGCCCTCCCTTTTTGGTTTCCCTGCTCAAGAAGGATATGTCTACCCCCAAAAGCCAGAGGATATATATATATATATATTTATCTAAGGTTATGTAAGGGTTATATACGGGTTGTTGGAAATTGAGAACTGTGGGCTAAGCGCCAAGGAAGGAAGGGACTGCTTGCACTCGAGCCTGCATCTCTTCCCGCAGCGCCTGGCACTTGCAGCGAAAACGAAAACCGCTAAGCCATCGCCTGCTGCAAAGAAGACATGGACTTGCCAGGGCATGGCCAGGGCACAAGCAAAACTATGGTACAAAGAGGGAATGGTAGGAAAACCAAGAAGACAATGTGCCTTTTATGTGTGTGTGTGTGTGTTGTTTTAGGTTGGACCCCCAAAATGGCGAAACCAGCGGTGTTTCGTTTGGTTTCCCTTGAACACTTTACCACAAAGAAATGGCTCCTTCAAAAAAGACACACGCTGATCTGTTTTGGCTCCGCCTCCTGGGTGGATTGGACACAAGTGGCACACAAGTATAGTCCAAAGACTCGGGAAGAGGGTGTCTGATTCCAGCCGAATTTTCGCGAATCAATAGACGCTCTCATTTTTTTCAGCATAAGACTGATAGGTCAGAGGGCCCAATACTAAAAATGGATATAAGAAGGAGGCCAACTGGTCAAACCGACGTACACATTCGCTTGTCGGAATTTCGTGAGGAAAACCCCCCATGGCATTCGCTCGCTTTTTTTTTTCCCGGTGCCATGTCATATCCGGGCAGCACAAATGGATGTGTCTCAAACTGTGTGCTTACCACTAAAAATTGGTCCAACCCCAAAAAGTGGAAGTTCCTTCTAAGCTTCCTTCAACACTCCCACCTCCTCGCGCAACCAGGGTACTTTGCTGAGATTAAATTACCCCAAGCGGTGACAAAAGTCCGAAACAAAAATCCTGAGTGGATTTGCCAATGCAAAATTTACACTTTCTGTGTACACCCAAAAATGGTCCAACCCCCAAGCAGTGACCAAAAACGTCCGAAACGAACCTCAGCAGTGAGCCGAGCATTGCAACTCGCACCCGTGGCACGCGCTCGCACCGCTCGCACCGCTCGCCTCGAGGGCAGCGGCCTTCGACAGCTTCTCCGAACCAAGCGCCTGGCGGGCCATGGGAAACCATTGTTTGTTGGTACTCAGAAAAGAGTCATAATTCCAGGGTTTCTTAGGTGGTACAGGATTTCGTCCGTCCACAGTACCTTGGTGGCTTCGGTGGCCACTCAACCCCAGTGGTTTTAGTAAATAATGGGCTGTGCCTGGGTGAAATGTGGGGAAAGTAAACAAAAAATACAGCTGGGTAGTATGGGGTCAACATGAGTTGGCTTTCAACATGGAGGACCCCTTTAGGTACCACCGGTACTGCTCACACCGTGCCGTGCAAAAGTTGCCAAACGGAAGCACCGGGTCTGAGCCGAGCGGTGCCTCCCGTAGCTGTTCCAGCAAAGGCTTCGCGGCCATTGAGGCCTGGGAAACCGCGGCTGACGAGCGAGCGATCCTTTCGGCTTTGCTTCAGGTCGGCATGGTGAAATCCAAACCACATCTTGATTGCTGTTGATCCCCTGCAAAAAGTTTAACTTGTTTGGGGTTTAGTGGAAAACACATGTTTCCCAAAAAGTTAAAGTCTAAAGATCCAACCCAATAGCAGTCAAGAATCAAAATGGATACCCTCTCTCCGACTAACATGGCACCTCACAGAGGGTCCCTTCAGGAGCAAATTGATCTTCCAGGTACCCTCCAACCTGGAGTCTCCATGACCATGAAAAAATGGGTCCATGACCCCTTAATTTTGGGTAATGACCCCTTTCTTTATGATATTGGTTTGGTCTGGGTTGCAGCTTTTGGTCATATCCCAGTATCCATCTCTTGCGGAGAAAGTGGCGATGCAATGTTGCATACAGGTGCTCAAAGGAAGGTCAAAGTGATCTTCAAGGGGAGGGAGGTTGGGTGGCCGGAATTAATTCGTCCTCCAATTCACTGACCCGTCTTTTGCAACAGGGTTGCACACGTTTTGATAACCACAAGCTCCGCACCAGGACTTAAAACCTTGTACATCAGGGCCTGCGAGCTTTTCCACGCAACTCGCCACCCAATTCGGTGCTTTGCGCTGCTCCATTCCACGCGGCGCAAAGCAGGCGTGGATCATCAGGGTGTCGAATACCAACACATGACCCCAAGTGAGAATTGGGGGGGACCTTGAAAAATCGTGGCATGATTGGCTATGCGTTCCGTTCCCCGTGGGGGAAGGGGGGGGGGGGGTTGGGAGTAGCGGACACCACTAAATTGGTGCTTCTCAAAATTATGGACCTGCTGTTGGTTAGCATTTGAAGGGACATCAAAAGGACACCTACCATTCTAGGAGAACCCCCCCCCCTAAAAGATGGCTTCTGGGAAAACCACATTTCAAAATGTCTAACTCTGGGCGCCCCCTGTCTGGGGTCACTGGATGTCCAATGCAGGATGGGCATCACTCTTTGTTTGAATCTATGTGTGCAATGAGTTCCAATTTGAGGCATATGTAGAAAATATTATACATATGTTAGTTCTTATATACATAGATATAGAAAGAGACATGTATATGCACAGACATGTATTATATATATATATATATGTATGTATATATCTATGCATTGATCAGCACCTTTTTCTAGATATGCACAATGTGTATATATATATATATATATGTGTACTCTATATATTATTTGCAGTAAATCGTTGTCATCCTTGCTGGCCACCCTGACAGCCCAAGTTGGCTGAGGCCCAAGCCGGCGTTGGCCCGCGAGCGCTCACATGGCTCCTGCACTGAAAATGCGCCCAGGCGAGTTGGGTGGCTGGGCTACCCCGATCTTCCAAGGCAAGAACCACTGGAGTTGATGGCAGGTCTAGTCGAGAAATCTGGAAGCCTTAACCACAAAACCACCGGGCCCCAAACCGCCAACTCGAGCTGAGTATATGGGTGTTTTAATCTTGGAGACACCCAAAATAGTTGCTTGTATTTTTGGCTTCCCTTTGATCACGACCAAACAAAGGGTACCCCCAAACAAGCACACTATACCTTGGGAAGAGGAACCGGTATGAACAGGCCCTCTTCAAAAAGGGGTTGAAATCCGAGTCCAAACCGCCAATCGAAATCATCAACTAAGGGGCATCTGATGATACACGTCAACCAAGATAAATCAGACAATTCGTCAAAACCTCTACCCGATCTGGGGAACAATTGTCAATGGGCCATTTGGGTGGGTGTTGTGTGTGTGTGTGTGTCAAAACAGGGGGGCTAAAGAAATGATTGGTTTCCTGTGGTTTCCCTTTAAGCCCACCCAAGACATTGGTTACCTTTCGAAACAAACCCAAATTTGATATGAAGCTTGTACACTGACTCTTTCCCCAAAAGGTTTGATGTTGACAACTGCTTCACCTCTCACATACTCTTGGTCCCAATTGGGAGGGGCCGCTTTTCTACCAGGTCAAACGCCAACGTACATAACACCCAGAGGCACACCCGTAGCTCGAAGATTCCCAGGATCCGACGCATCTCTCACAACTAGCGCCGTAGCTTGTGCAACGTAGGTGTCCTTTGCGGAAAGCAAAAAGATGGCACTGGTAAATGATCCGAACCAAGCTGCCACCAGTAGAATGCTGCAAGTTTCAACCCGGCCAACAAGGACACCCATGGTGTTGCTTGCAAAAAACAACGCCTAAAGCTAGGATCCAGGGCCACAATTTTGCTTGCCGTCATGTTAGTCAGTGGCAAAGATATAAAATGGTACCAAAAGTTAACCCAGTAGCAACCGTAGACGGAGCCATACCAATGAAGCCGCTGCACCACAATGATTTCTCCCCTCGCTCTGAACCAATCTTGGAAACAGGACTCCGTATCTGCATCAGCTTCCCCCTCCCAACCAACAAACAATGTTTGATTCGCAAAAAGTCACGCAATGTCTCCAAAGAGGTCCCAGTCAATGGGACAACCGGGGTTAGACATACGGCCATGGTCATCTCAGCGAGCGAGACAGCCCCTTTCGCCCCTGTCCTGGCCGATTGGCATGGCGAAAGCTGGCGCACCCTGCGCCGGAGTGACCCCTCTCTGGGTACCCGCCATCCAGGCAAAGAGGCGTGAGACAGCTGGGTTGTTTCCGGGTGGTTGCAGAGGCAATTTGGGTTGTCCCCTCACGTCGGCCACCAACAATAGACCAGTTCCTGAACTTTTGAAAGGAACAGCCTGGGTGATTGCAACATGAGTGATTTAGATGGAACAAACACAACTCCCAACATGAATCCCCCTCTCTTGCTGAAAATGGCCTAAACCTCAGCAGCGCACCAAAAAAACAACATGAATAAAAGTTGATCACCGAGTTGAAGGTGTTTCATATACTAAACATGGACCGTTTAAACCGGGAAAACCCATCGGTCAGCTCCGGTCGATTCGCTTCACTTCCGTTTCATCGCCCCGCGCCTCGGTGGAGGTGCGGCCCGGGGCCCGGAAAGATCGCCGCCTGACGGACTCGCTGGAGAGGCGGCGCCCGGGGCCAGCGTCTGCGGTTTTTGGGGAAGAAAACCTCGGTTGCAAGCTGCTCCCCTGCTAAAAGTCTAACTTGTAGCGGTTTAGTGGAAAACCCATGTGTTGGCAAAAAGTTGAAGTCCTAACATCCCTTGGCAAAATGCACCAAAGAAACGGACAAGCCCAAGCTGCAAGTCTTCTCACTTGAGTTGATCATGTGGATCGGCCCAGAACAAGTCCAAACTTTATTCTTGCCGCTGGAATGGTGCGAACCCAAAACGTATCAAGTCCCTGAACTCAAAAAGTGCAACTTTTTATGAGCTCGCCAAGGGGCGACGTATCCCAGGAACCAACCTGCAACCTGCCCACCCAGGAATCCTCCTGAGTGCTGCCCTCGGCAGAGGCTCCAAAGCTATCGCTGGAGGCAGAGGCGGCTGGGCAGAGACCCCCCTTAAATCCAACTTTTCAGCTGGGGAACAAGCCTCGATTTTACACCAATCGGAGGTTGACGATCCCGAAGAAGAGCAAGAGCTGTCGCTAGGGCGCGTGCTTCCCCCTCTCGACGGTCTAAAATGACTCTGGCTGTGACCGCGACGGTTGTTCTTGCGCAGGTTCCGCCTATGCCGAAAGCTCGGCAGCACCTCGCCAACGAGTCCAACAATTCAATCCTCAGCACAACATGATGCCTTTCGATTCAGGCAGCTCGCCCCCCTCCCCCCATGGCCTGGGAGCATTCCCACATGTTGCCAAACGTCTTGAAACTAAGTGAATTTGGGGTGGTTTCCTCCCAAAGTAAGACATTTGCCGGGGACACCCACCAAAGGCGTATCTCTCAACCGGGTCGCCGAGTGAAGTACCAGACCATATTAATCTACTGAAGATCCTGCTGATGGGACGGGAACATGTTAAGCCCATGTTGGTATCAAAACGCCCAGGCTCCACAAAGATGAAGGCTGTCAGTCCGTGATTGGAGTCCAGCAAACCAATGAGGATGGTTTTCCTGCAATCAGTGCCATGTTGGCTTTGTTGCAATTGCTGGCCACACAAAGAATCAATGAGAACAAGGCTTTGGCTCATTGTGTTACAACCGCAAACCTGGCAGTGGCCACTGTCTTCGGCAGTTCCTGTTCAAAAAAAAAGCTGTTCAAAATTTCAACACATCCCGGTCTCGGTTCGGTCCCTGCCACGATGTCCCAAAGGGAGGTTGTGAGATCTTGGGAGCCGCAAGATGCCGCGAAAATGATTTAATGAATCACCCTGCTATAACACTTCGGGAACCGATTTCCCGGACGAAGCTTGGGCTCTCCAAAGCAATTTGAAACACAATCTTCAACAGCTGTTGCGTAATCTCTTCCCCCTATTAATAAATACGCCCCCCCCCTATTATAAATAAATCCTCCCAAAAATAGATGTTTTTTTAATTGGGGTTTTCGGGGTTGGGTTTTTTTGCTTTTCTAACAATGTGAGGGTTCGCATAGGATTTGGAGGAAATGGATTGAATTGTAAGGTCCGCGAGTAAGCGGTTTAATAAGGAAATTTCATGTATCATTCTATTTGTTTTTCAGTTTACTGGTTGTTTGTTGGCAGCCAGGCAGGTTAGCCAGCATGTATGGGGGAGAGACAGTCGCAGCTTAAAAGTGGGGCTGGAAGCTTGTTAAAAGTGCCCCCTAATAAGGATTCCAAGACTTGCAATTAAAAATCAATTGTGCGGAGTGGAAATCTGGTCTCGGGCCCCGGATTTGCATTTATTATTAATGGGGGTCATTCATTAATTGGGGGAGGAGATTATTCCCCATTAGCGCAGAGCCCGTTTCGAGCCTGACCATTCCGCCACGAAGTCATGCGTAGCTTTGTGGTGTCTTGCAAAGCTCCTCCCATCATGGGGGCTGGGAGGGAGGGAGGGAGGGGAGGGGCAGGGAGCCCAAATAAGGCTATATTAAGCCCAGGCCCTCCCTCCCCCCCGGCTCCCATGATTCCGTTCCAAGGATTCAGATCATTCGCCCAAAGTCAGACCCTGCCACAGCTGTCCGCCGCGATTCGAATCGCAGCCCCGGTGTCCCGTTTCGGCCTGGCAAAGGCCGCCAGCCTGGCCAGTCAGCTGAAAAATGTCAGAAGTCCAACTCATGTTGGCTTCATCCTCTTTACACCCCAGCAAAATATATATATATATATATATATTTGCCTGGCTAACTAGTGGAAAACAGGGGACCCCAAAAAAAGCACAACAAGGGAGCAGAACTCTGGGAAAGTTTGCTCTGCTTCCTTCCAATTGGTGGTTTGGGATGGTTTGAAACTGGGTTTCCCACCTACCCAGAAGAACCAGCAGTTCTAAATTCACCCCAGTTGAGGGTAACCAGATTTTCATCCCAAACATCCGAAACTTCGGCTGGTTTAGTCATCTTTGGTCATCCCCGGACCCAGTTGCCCTTAAGGGAATGCACCTACTTGCATCCCACGCTCCATCCCTTTGAAGGGTCTAGTCGCCAGGTCCAGCTACCCCCAAAAGGGCCAGGGGAAACCATGCCAATCCTGGTTCCCTGCAACTGGATCCACATCCCCTCTACCGGCTAGTGGAAAAGGTGAACTAACCCTTTGAGTCCTGGACTGAACGACCAAAGTGGAAAAGTGAAAAGGTCAAAAGGTGGATTCGCTTTCGACACCTGAGAAGTAGGCTATAACCATCCGCAGGCTCGCCGGGTCGAACTCATGTTGTGAAGTTCCAGTCCTGAAATTTGGCATCCGATGCTTGTTTCAGGTTCTGGGTGTTTGCGACTTCCACGTGCAAAATTGTGATTTTGCTATTGGAAAAGACGTATCACGCCCAGGAAACTCTGGGAAGTGGGTGTCTCGTCTTTGGGGAGAAGCCTTTTGGTTGGTGGTAAACACCAAGCAAACACGCATGGCCGTGTCGCCTGCGCGCGGCTCGGCGGACGCCGGGCGGATGGATGGCATCCATGGGAAAGCAACCCGCGCGCGAGTGCGCGCGCGGGCCGCGCGACGTCGCGCAAGGCACGACGTGAGGCCAAACCCCACACAACGAGTTGTGTGTTTGACTAAGGCAAGGAGCTGACAGGCAAGCCTTCCGTCTGGGAGTGCTCCAAGGGTTTTGGGTTCCTTCGGGCGGGTCCGTGGAGCCTTTGGGGACCGCAGCGGGCAATTTTTTGATGGGTGTTGACTAACTCCGATTGGCACAAGCAAAAGCCTGACTCTTCTGTGGCTGCTAAACTGGTCCAAACCCAAAAGGCCTCAAAGTCCAGGAACTCAAAAGCCACAAAGGGTGAGTTAACCAGCGTTGATTGACGAATCTCCGTGACATCAAGCCCAATCACTCAACCTAGATGCCAGCTTCAAGCCGAACTGCTCTGCTCAAAGCGTGCGATCTTCCACCCCGATCAGAATTCTTGGTTGTTAGCTGAAAACGCGCCGGCCACTCCCAGTGTTTCCAGCTATCTTGTGAAGCTGGATTCACACGCATAGCTCTTTTGCTCTAACTAAAGGGCACCTGCACTCGTGGATTTGGAAGGCTTGACAAATTGTAAAGGTGGACAAAGGGGTGGTTGTGCTGCCTCACACGCAATAATAGGCATCAACAAAGGGCCCAAACTTCAGCCGTTGAACGTGAAAAAGCACCTTTCCGAATCTTGCGTCATGTGTTGTCGAAAGTGATCCCAATTCGAACATCACCCCTTACAATAAAAACAAACAAGTTATTTCCATCCGACATTGGCCAATGTCGGCTTCGCAGAGGTGCCACCAACAAATAGCAAATTAGCGGATCCACAAAACGGTGTTGTTTTCCCCTTTTTTTTCCGGGTTTCCTTTCAACCAATGCCAAACAAGGTACCGACCAAAAAAACACCTACCCTTCTAGATTGCCAACATCCGATCCCAGGAAGCATTTGAGCAGCAAACCGGCACGGTCTGAGACAACTCGTGTCTCGTATCGGCATGACCTGAAAACCCAGGAAGGCCGGGTTGCAGCCCCAAAACATGCAAGAGCAAAAGGTGGACGAGGTTTGAACATCTGCGATTCGCGTATTTCCGCGTAGAGATCCGGAAAAAAAAAACCGCATCGCCAAACACAAGAAGACAACAAACAACGGTTTGCAGGGTTAGACCGGTGGCCTAAGGGCAAATAAAGTTGGGGGCCAAATAAAGATGGGGGGTCTTCTTTGTGTTGCAGGGATCGGGATCCGCGCTGATAGATCAATTCCTGGCTCCTGCGAACACGGAACGAGCCCTGCTTTCCTGCTTTTACTGCAGCACTGAGGCGGAGTCGCGCAAGGATGCTTGGCAGAACGAAGCACTACCTGACTGCATTGCCGGGACTAGAAATCAGAACCCCCCGGGCAGTGCAATATTCTTGTTTCACCTGCCGCTTGAATCCCGTGCTCTTCTACTTGGAGCTTTTGCTTTGGTGAACGCCACCACTGCAAAGCAAATAACAAATCAAAGGTCCAAGATCAAACGGCCGTGAGTTTACCAAGCCAGTGCTCCAAATATAGAATTATGTGTATATATATACCTGGGTCTTCCATTTGGTCACTTTTTGGGGCTCTGGGCATTTTTTTTGCTCGTTTCAGATTTTGAGCGGAAAAACTAAAAATGAGCGGAAATCTTGATTTGCAAGTTGTGTCCCAGAAAATGAGCGGAAATCGGCGGGAAATGAGCGGAAATCGGCGGGAAATGAGCGGAAATGTGCGGACACGCACCAGAACCACTTTCCAATTGAGCGTTTTATTTCGAATTGAGCGTTTTTGGATGAAATGAGCGTTATTTTTGCTCGAAACGGGAAAATCCAGAAAAAAGTGCCCACGGAAGACCCAGGTATATATATACACGTGTACATACATGTACAGCTACAGTATCAACATCAACCATGCAGGCGGGTAATTTGATTCATTGGGGCTGTCCGCTTTTGATTGGGAACCTTCGTCGCTTGGGTGCGTTTTTCTCCTTGCTTCCCCCGCCAAGTTGCCTTAATGCCACAGGCTTTAAACAGATTGAAGGCTAATTTCCAGCAGCTTGGTCTTGGACTCTAAGGTGGAACTGGTTGCTTCCTAGGACAGGAACGTAACCTGCAAATCAAGAGACAATCCTCGAAGCCCGCGCCGGGGCGGCCTTTTGCAGTCGGTAAGATCGAAGCTGCAAAGCCAAAGTAAAGGCAGCCAAGTGCTGCTCTCCTACTCTCGACTCTGTCCGTCACAGCATGGAATGCCAACACTCCGTCCGTCAAAAGCCTCCAATCCTGCAAGAAATCTGCGACACACGAAGAGGCCAACCTTCACCAACCCCCAAAATTGGGGGCATCCAAGTCACCGTCGCCTTCGTCATGGTTGTGAGGTCGATGTCATTTGCTAAATAAATGTGTGGCGTAAACCCCGGATTTTCACAAGCCTTGCAGATCCATAGGGGGCCTTCCCCAGAAATATGAAAGAGGCCCTCTAAATGAGGCATCCACTCTTTAGTGAACTAGGGGTTCATTACCCCTGGCAAAAAGGCATCCCCAAGAAGAAGGATCCTTCATCACGGGGTAAGCTCGTAAAACCAAAGGGGAAGCAACAAAATCCAGTGCTTGCCCGGCCTTTTGCCTGAGTCAGTGCAGGTAAGTGCCGGCCAAACCACGCCGCGTGTGACAGGTCTGTGTTACAACGGATGGCAGCGGCCAAACCACGCCACGCGCTTCGCGAGACGCGCCGCGCAAATCGCTGGAACCGCTAGGTCCAGGAAGACCCAAGTTGCTTCAAAAGGCACGCAGGGACGTGGTACTCGCGGGTTCGCGTGAGTCCAACGAGCGACTCGAGAGATAGAAGATGGGAACCATTCCATTCCTGTTGCTTTGTTTGCATTTTGTACCGGGAAGCAAAAAACCCAAACAACTGGAAGCTTATTCACTTTTCGCCATTGAAAGCAGTCTTGCCATTGCCCAAAGTTCAAGACATTTCAGGAGAGCATCAGTTCAAGGTAACCTGCCTCTGGGCATTGACGACCAACATCTCTTCATGGCAGGTAGCATCTGTGTGGAATCAATGACACGATTTGCCCTGTGCGTACGAATCAGCAGTCAGTGCCACATGCAAGGTGCGCTCCAAAGATTTATTCACAAACGACAAGCACTGTTGGCACCGGGAAGAAGAAACACCCAAGCTTTTCTTTGGGTGATGAACCAAAAAGCACAGAGTCACATTTCGCCTGAGACCTGGCTGGTAAGTTGGACTGGTGCTGTGGAGGTCAAGGGGTGCAATTCCCATTTGGTTTCAAGTGGAACTGGGATTGAAATCAAACCATTGCAAGGTTTATCGAAAGGGATACCTGAACCTTTGCATCCGTCTCTTGCCTACGCCGTCTGGCGCGGACGGTTCTCTCCCACGCGACCCGCATGCAGTGGAACTCCCAAGCTGTGGAACAGAGAGACGTGAGTCAGGCATCCGGGGATCCCCGCAAAAGAACCTGTGTGCAGGAATGACTGAGTTTTTACTGGTTGCTACGTTTGCTGAAAAGCAAGCCGTTGATGGAGACAGCAAGGTCACTGTCACCCCTTCCGTAGTGGCTGGGGGATGCAAGCGGCTTACTCATATTGGCCAGTGGGTTGACGATGTTGCCTTGAATGGAGTTCCGAGTGAGCTGGTTGAAAGGGGAATGCAAAAAAAGCTGCAAGGCCCTTTTGCGGACGGAAACAGGGCATGACCACTTCTGTCATACAACAGAAAGGGCTTGCCAAAGGCTATTGTGTTAATGTAAAGGGAGACTCCCTTGTATCACAGAAGGGGGAGAAACCCCTTGATCCCACAACCTTGGACAGAGAGGTTCGTGAATTCTGGCCCTCGGGGAGCCCGGGTTTCTCTCCTGACGGCGTCTGCCGCTCACAGCTTGGATCGCAGGCGATTGCGGATGACGTCCTCCGCCTCAGCCACCTGAGCGAGAATTTCATGAACCAACCGCTCCAGTGGATGAATTTCATATGAGGGTGTTTAGAAACAAGAGGGGAATTAGGGGGCAGAAGTGATTTAATGTCAGGCAATGGTTTGGATTGGTGGCTTGGGGATTTGAACCCCCGGATTTCGAAGAGGTCGGAACACCTCCAACCACCAAATCAAACCACCTTCTTCAAGGGAAGTACTTCTGGAAACACCGCCTTGTCAAGCGGCCTGGCGGCCTTTTTGAAGGCCGGACTTGTCTCACTCTGTCCAAAAACAAATCGACGTATTGGTTTCCACTGCATAGCAGGCGTGGGTCATTGCCTGTCATTGCAACCCAAAAGAGGCACACAACCTGCTAGTTGTTGTGGAAGGTTTCAGCAAGCTGAGGTGACGTGTTGTTGTTTTTGCTAATATCTCCCCCAAGACCTGCATCATGAAGGTTGCAAGCCAAACCCCTTTCTCTCAGGTCGCTCGAAATTTGGGGTTGTTCTATGTTCGAAACGAAACACGTCCTGGCCACCCAAGAACCTTCCACATGCCTGGCCAGCTTTACCTTGGGCCGCAAACCATCAAATCAGGATCTGCCTGACCGGCGGGCGCTCATTATCCCAAAGAACAAACAGGCAAATTGAGGCGTGGGTTTTCAAGGTTGCTTTGATGTGCCGTGTTTCGTTTTTGTGCTGTGTGCTCTTTTTAATTTTGATTGTTTTTTTGCGGCTCTCTTTCGGCTTTGAAACTGGGTCACATCTGTGTGAGAGAGAAATATGCGCCTTTTCCGGGACGGGGCCTAGATTGCTGTGTAGCGGTGCACGCGTTCAAAGCTTGGCTCGGTGGCTGTTTGGTGGATAGGCAGCTGTTCAGAGAGTTTGTGGATATGACTGTACAGCGCATGTCATTTCCACACATGATTCGGTGGTGGCTGTTTGGAGGATTATGTTTGATTTTGCGCATCACTTGCATCATCTTCAGCTAGCTTTGCGCGCAGAAGAGGCCTTCTGAAAGGAGCGGACCTGTCAACGTCCTCGGCATCGCCTGC